TGTGTCGTTTTCCGATTAGTGGGGCTAGTAGTGAATGTGTGCAGTCTGAAATCAATGTGTTCTCATTTTCCATGACTTCATTAAATTCAAAAAATACATTTAAATAAAAAAAGATTTGAGTCTAATATAGGCTAACGAAAAACATATATTGATACACATTAGGTCAACTTTAATTAATTTTTTGGCTTTTTTGTTTGTGCTCCACAATATTTAATTTTTTCAGATATCAAGGAGTTAATTTCTTTTTTCCATAGTTGCTCTTGGAGTAAAGAGCCTAGGAGTACTTGTTATATTTTCAATGAACAAATTAAGGTTAATATGGTTAATTTTATTGTTAATTTAATACTAAAAAGTGAATTCTTTAATATGTGTGAAAACAACCAAAAAATCAATGGACCGGAGGTATATACTACGTTTATTGATGTATATAAATTATTCATGTAATTTCAAATGTAAAAAATAAGTTTTTAAAATAAAATATGAATAATGATATCCTATCCTTGCATATTTGTAACGAATCTTGTAGGAAGAAGAAATTATGAAAAAGAAGAAAAGAGGCTAAAAGACAAGAGAATGATGCAAAGCCACAGTTGCACACATCATCTTCATATTCGCAAATGTGGAATATACATACGGGCTTATGGAAAGAGATAATTAGAGATTAAAAGAAGCATAGTTGCATATGTGGAATCTATATACGCAAAGTCACATTCGCATACATGAAACCTACATTTGCAAGTCTAATCCATGAAGTCATGAATGGAAGTAAAAGAGTCATAGATGCATGCGTGGAATCTATATTTGCAAAGGTCACATTCGCATACATGGAACCTACATTTGCAAGACTAACTCATGAAGTCAAGAGTGAAGCACAAGTGTCATAGTTGCATATATGGAATCTACTTACACAAAGATCACATTCGCATACATGGATTTCACATTCGCAAAAGTGGAACATGACAAAAGCTACTCATCTTTTCCTATAAATAGCAAGCTCTCTTTGTATAAGGATATCCAATCATGGTAAGACAAGAACTACTCTTGGTCTTCTTTTCTTGAAGTAAAAATATTTTCTTAATCTTTTAAATATTTCTAGTCTTGTAAATATCTTTTTAGCTTTTCTTACTCCATAATGGAGTAATATCTTTCGTTGGTATAGTTGATGAAACTTAATATATTTTATAATACTATCTCAATTTTTATATATTTGTGGCTTGAAACTTTTTATTTACATTTCATACTGTGCTGGAATGATGATTTTTAATTACTCTATTATCACATCTATATATTTTATCTCTAAGTTATTCTGATATTAATTTTGTAATTCTCACGGAGCAAAATTAATATATAATAACTGATGGATATTATAGTAGAGTGAGAGTAATTTTTTAGTAAACTATTATTTCAAGTCAGTAATCTTGCTTGCCTCAGTTTTAATTCTCACAGAGAAATTGTTGTAAGCAAGATTATTGATCCTTAGTAAAAATATTCTTACGAAGTTTTTACTTTCTTTTAGCACAATTCAAGCATGAAAAATATTTCGGTTTAAACGTCACTAGTCTTAAGTTGATTAATTTATATAATTCTCACGGAGTGTTAATAATCAGTTACTTCTTAGTGAGGAAAATATAATTGTATTAGAAATAAGCAATTCTTCTTTAAAGAAACAAATGTATAAATTGAGATTTTATTATAGTAATATTTTCAAGTGAATTCAATGACTCCCAACTCTTTTTTAAAATTATAAATCTTTCAAAAGTTATTTGCTTTCTTTAAGTAATTAACAAGTTTTAAATCTCACTCACTTTTCATCAATTTGATTCATTCAAATAGTAGTTAAAATATTACAAGTCTGTAGCATAGATTATTCCGTCTGTGTTGGACGATATCTTAAGTTAGAATTTGATAGAATACGAGTAGGAAATTTCAATACACATTGGCCTCGTCATTTAAGTCTTATTCGAAGCACAATCTAGAATAATTCAAGTTAAAACACAGAATATTTCATTTGGAGAACTGGAATATTTAATATTTGCACAAATAAATTTAATTTATTAAAATTGCGAGGAAAGAAAAAAGAAAAAGGGAACAAGCAAATTAAATAAAATGAAAAAAGAACATTGGATTTGAAAAGACAGATCCTCAAAAAGGCAACTACTTTTATGTCACCATTACGTCTTTAGCCGGTCAGAGGATCGCGACGAACAGAAGCTACTAAATACTCAATTCTCTCACGCATTAATCAAGAGCGTGCTCGTCACGCTTGTAGCTATCCCCGAGGCTTATCCGGCCGGTTTGGTCTGAGCTTTTTATATTTAGATTCTGTTTCGAAAACCACCCTGCAATTGGAAGTGGTGTAATTATTAGGGTAGTAATTACACAATCTAGTAATTATATAATTATGTAATTACGATGATCTGTTTGTTTGTCATAGTATAATTACAGTGTAATTACAAGTTTACTGTTTGATTGCACAAATATAATTATACAGTTAGATTAAATTTTAAATTAAGTAATTATTAAAACTTACAAATAAATATAATAAAGCATATAAATTTTTACAAGTATAAATGATATTATATTTTTGATATTTAAGATGTATATTTTTTTTGTGAATATACATTTAAAAAATAATTTATATACATATTTTTAAATTAATAATATTTAGTTTAGATACTTACAAAAACTAAATATACGTTTTGTAAGAACATCATGGAATTCATGATTGATAAAATAAATTAATATTTATAAATATAGTGTCATAACATTATTCAAATGTTTGACAAAACTAATCTATCAATTCTAACTAAAAAATGAACAACACACAATGTGAATCAATAATACTAAAACAAGTAAATTGCAACCATGAATATAACACAATTTCATAAATAAAAAAAATAGTTTAACCTATGTCAAATTCCAACATAATAATAGTAAGTCCCACTGCAACTTAAGATTAGGAAACATGATAAGTTTATAACCAAATTCAACAACGGAATTCCACTTTAATTGCATCATTCATTATATGTCAAGTTATATGTGACTCATTATTTTTAATATTAGGAGGTGTAGTTGCAAAATATGGAATAATAAAATAAATAAAAGATAAAATATAAGCAATTACATGGAATCACAAGAAGTAAAGATGGAGAAATAAAAGATAAATAATGTACAAAGAAAAATATATTTAAAATTTCAAAAGAAATTAAAAAGTAAAAATAAAATTAAAAAATTAAAATGATAGAAATAAAAAGTTATAAAGAAAATAAATTAAAATAAAAATGAAAAAGAAAGAAACTAAAAAGCAACCTTGTAATTACACAGTGTAATTACCACCAATTCTCACCTCTCCCTTGAGAATTGGAGAGTGTAATTACAACCCTCCAATTACACCCAATTCCATGCTGATCAAGTAATTACTTGGCCAAACAAACATGCCAAACTGTGTAATTACACCCAATTACATTCAAATTCATTTCCAAAATGGCTTTCCAAACAGGCTCTTAAAAAACATTTCATGTGGCAAAGAAAAAAATAAAATCCGAAATATATCACCGCGATCCTTGCCCAAAATTAGGAAAGCTTTTGAGAAAGATTAAATATTGAAAACATTACTACTAGTATTTATTGTCAGATATAAAATAATGTTCTGCTTATCAAAACAAAATATATTCTACGAACCAGAACATCGTACAAACATGGGCATATTTGATGTAAAGGTAGAGACAGAGGGTTCATCTGAATTCAATACTTATGAAATGTATTAAAATTTATTAAAATTAAAATAATAAATAATAAATTAGAACCCATAAATTTTAAATATAATAGATTCAATACTAACAACCTTAAAATTGAATCCATAAAATTTAAATCTTAAATCTGACTATGCGTATAAAAGATGTAACATTTATTCAAATGGAATAGCTATATAGACACCTCTACTTAAATCAATTGATATAACTAATACCCATCGTCTCAATTTATATATTTTAATATAATTTGTTTTTAGTATATTTAGAAAAAATATCACACTTTCATATTTATATATAATTTACTTTAAACTTTTTATTTCATCAATAAGATAAATTATTACACAAATATAAATAGATTTTTTAGATAATATTTTTTTTAAAATCTCTTTTTTTGAATTTCGTACGCAATCAAATACTATTACTCTCTCTGTCTCAAATTATCTGTTATATTTCTCTTCTACACAACTCTTAAGAAATACTCCCTCCGATCCACAACTCTGTTATATTTCTCTTCTAAACTACCCTTAATTAAATATTTAATGTGAGGAGTAATAAAACTTTTAGGGATACGTACATAACGGTAATTTTGTAAAAACAAATTAAATTTTTTCTTGATCATATAAAAGGACACTTATTTTGGACCAAAATAAAAAAGCAATTCGGTCACTTATTGTGGACCGAAGGGAGTATTAATTAGACGGTTTTTTTTTTACTATTTTACCCTTACTTATGTTTTAAGATATAATATATCTTCATTAAATATTTATTCTATTTATATGTCATCTCCATCTTTAAGAATAATTACTATTAAAAATAAAATAAGAAAAGAATAATTAATTTTATCTTAAACTTTTAAAATAATAAATAATTTGATATAATTAGTTTTAGAAACCAAGACGGATTGAGTAGCAATTAGGGGGACTACTTTAGAATCGTCGGAGCACGAAACCGTCGCCCTAAGCCTAGCTACCTGGCTAACTACGGTTTGTAGTGACAGAGTGAAAAACTGTAATTTTCTGACTTTTGCTTTTATTTTTTTAACTAGGGTTAATTATGTCAAAGTCAATATACAGTAACTGTTTTGTTCAGAAGCACACTCCCAGTAAAAAGACTGTGCTCCTTATTTCTCGCGTTTTTCTTAACGTCTCGTCCTCGCGAGACGATATCTTATCAACCACCAAGTTAATTAATATTTTAATCAACCTTAAATTACTTTTATCACAACACTTTGTCTGTTCTTATCTTCAGATAATTGGTTCAGATCTGAGCAAAGCTAACAAAAAAAGACAACTACAAAATACATTTAACAAAATTCGTAATATAAAATTGATCATCTCGAAAACGAAGTCGTTTATCCTCATTTCTCAACTGCGCTTACCATACTTGGTAGCAGTACTAGTAGTAGTAGGCGTAGCAGCATAATATTCGCACTTCTATTCTCTTGTTGCGGAGGAAAACGACGGCGGCGGCGGCGGCTGGAATGATGAAGTAGGTTTCTCCGTTGACTATAACTCCGGCGAGTTACATTCCTGATCTCATAAATGATGTCGTTTACGTCATCTACTCGCTACGATCCAATGGTTCGGTGTCGTTTGTCGTGAGTCTTGTCGTTTTGATTATCGATCCGATTTGAAAGAAACTGTACGCACATTGACAATCCCGCATGCATTTATGCTGTAGATTGTACACACAGACACGCAAATATAACACACACACACACACAGAGTACTCTCTCTCTTCACTGAAAATTGATTGATTACGTTTTTTTAACAGTGGAGGTGTAAATGCATAAGAGATTTGAAGCTGAAAAGCCTGTAATCCAAAGCTTTTTAATTTTTTTTTTGTTTACCGATTTTACGAAGCATTTCTTCGTATGAGTATATTGATATAAATAGAAAGAAGACAGTCAGAAACTACGCGTTTGGTTTAGGATTTGATTTAAGAGGATAGAATTAATGAAGCCGTAGCAGAGTCATAATTTCTTTTACAGTTTTTGAGGCTTTAATTTCAGTTTTTAAAATTATCATTTTCAGTTCCATTATTTTTGATCGGCTTTAATTTGTCTGGTACTCATAGGTATTTCAGCAGATCCATATTTTTTATTGCGCGTAAATGTATTTTTTTCGTTCGTACTCTGAATCACTGCAGTTATTTATTAACTGTAGTACTGGTTTCTGTATTAATTTTCTCTTTTTTGTACCTTTTATTAGGATTTGTTGTTGAAATTTATTACTGGTTTCTATATTTTATCTCTTTTTTGGACCTTTTACTTGAACTCTTTTGAGATCTGCTGGTTTCTGTATTTTTCTTCTCTGTTTTGGACCTGATACTTGAATTTGCCGTTGAAATTACTGGTATCTGTATTTATAGTCTCTTTTTTAATCTTTTACTTGAATTTGTTGTTGAAATTATATCTGTACTTGTTTTCTCAATTATGTACGTTTTACATGAATTTATAACTGAAATTTGTTTATTTTGTGGTACGCAGCATTTAAGGTTATCCAGAATTGCTCTTGTTAGCTGTTTTCAAATAAAGCATAACAAAAGAAAGGAAAAAAGAAGTGTACTGGATAAGGCAAATGAAGGAGGTTATGGAGAAATATGTGGACTCGCAGCTATGGCACGCTTGTGCCGGAGGAATGGTGCAAATCCCTCCGGTCAACTCCAAGGTCTACTATTTTCCACAAGGGCATGCTGAGCATACCCTTGTAAATGTGGATTTCTCGACGCTACCAAGAACTCCTGCTCTGATTCTATGTAGGGTAGCTGCTGTGAAGTTCTTAGCGGACCCTGAAACGGACGAGGTTTATGCTAGGATTAGGCTTGTCCCGGTTGGGAACAAGGGGAATGACTTCGACGATGATAACATTTTGGGGGGTAGTAATGAGACGGGAACAAATGACAAGCCTACTTCATTTGCCAAGACATTGACTCAATCGGATGCGAATAATGGGGGTGGATTCTCAGTGCCGAGGTACTGTGCAGAGACTATATTTCCTAGGTTGGATTACACCGCTGACCCGCCTGTGCAGACTGTGATTGCCAAAGATGTTCATGGTGAAACTTGGAAGTTTAGGCACATTTATAGGGGGACTCCAAGGAGGCATTTGTTAACAACTGGTTGGAGTAATTTTGTGAATCAGAAGAAGCTGGTTGCAGGGGATTCCATTGTGTTTTTGAGGGCAGAAAATGGTGAACTTTGTGTGGGAATTCGTAGGGCAAAAAGGGGTGGTATTGGTGGGCCAGAAACCCCATCTGGATGGAACTCTGCTTCCGGAAACTTTAGTGGATTTTCTGCGTTTTTGAGGGAAGACATGAACAAGAACGGAAGCCTTAATTCTTCTGGGGGGAGCTTCAGGGGAAAGGGAAGGGTGCGGCCTGAAGCAGTTATTGAAGCTGCATATCTTGCTGCTAGTGGGCAGCCTTTTGAAGTTGTATATTATCCCCGAGCAAGCACTCCAGAATTTTGTGTTAGGGCGTCTTCTGTGAATACTGCGATGAGGATTCACTGGTGCTCAGGGATGAGGTTTAAAATGGCTTTTGAAACTGAGGATTCTTCTCGAATCAGCTGGTTCATGGGAACTATATCCTCCATTCAGGTTGCTGATCCCATCCACTGGCCCAATTCACCTTGGCGGCTTCTTCAGGTAATGCAGCTACTCTTAGTGGGACCAAAGTCTGTGTTGTTGCTTAGTCAATTACAATTCTGTTGTTCTGATATTCTTGGCCATCGGCTCTTTGGCTGATAGGTGAATATCATATAGCGAGTCAATAGTCCTCCAATACTCTTTTTCCCTATTGTCCATACTTCTAAGTTGTGATATGTCATTTTAGCATTGCTGAACTGCAGTGGCACTGGTCAACATTCTTAGGACTTTCCAAGGTTCTAAGCAAGCCACAGTATGTAGTTAATTGATTGACTGAGATTACAATGTGTCAGTATGTTTAGCATTTATTTCATGTTCTGGTTAGCAGGTTAGCTTATGGAGTATTACTTTTTTCTTTTTTACCAATTCTGCGAAGCATTTATTCGTATGAATATTGATGTCATATAGCGAGTCAATAGCTCCAATGTTCTTTGGCCTTTCTTGCAATTTCCATAGTTCTAAGGTGTTGTGAAATGTCATTCTTACATTACTGACTGTTCAACTCTTAGACTTTTTCACGGTTGAAGCAAGTCATAAAAGGAAGTTGATTGATTAATTGAGATTACTATATCTCAGTACATTCTGGATTTATCTCATATTCTGGGTAGCTTATGGGGTATTACTTTTGATCAGCTTAGTGCAATGAAGATCTGCTGCTTCATTTTTCATGTTTTGGATACTTTTAGATAATATTATTGTAGGAGACACTCTATCTATGCATTATTGATGATTTCTTTCATTGCATTGCCTTACAGCCACTTTGATATCCTCAGATTTTAAAATGCAATATGCAGTTGTGAGTGCACTTTTACTTTTAGTTTAAGCTGCTTGTGGTTAACTGTTTCCGTGATGTGCTGCAGGTGACATGGGATGAACCCGATTTACTGCAAAATGTAAAACATGTCAGCCCATGGCTTGTCGAACTGGTCTCAAATATGCCAGTCATTCACCTCTCGCCCTTCTCACCACCAAGAAAAAAGTTGCGTCTACCACCAGATTTCTTACTTGACGGCCAATTTCCGTTACCATCTTTTTCAGGCAACCCCCTCAGGTCCAGCAGTCCTTTCTGTTGTCTATCTGACAACATCACTGCAGGCATACAGAGAGCCAGGCATGCTCAATTTGGAGTACCTTTATTGGATCTGCACCTTAGCAACAAAGTGCAATCGGGACTCCTACCGCCCAGTTTCCAGCGAGTTGCAGCTGATTCAAAACTTACTAATTGCATCAATAAGGGCCAAAATGACAGAAATGACAACATATCTTGCTTGCTTACCATGAGTACTTCTAGTCAGATGTCGGAGAAAACTGATAGTGTGAATACACCTCGATTCTTACTCTTTGGTCAGCCAATTCTGACTGAGCAGCAAATTTCTAATCGCTGCTCTGCCAATGCTCAAGAAGTCCAAACAGGAAGGGACTTAGGCAGGATAGAACTGAGAAATGAAAGATTTGCTTTTGAGCAGAAAGGTCTTCAAGACAGTGTATCAAGTGCTACATATCTTTGGAATCGAGGTCATCATGCAGCTGGACTTGGTGCTGATACTGGTCAGTGCAAAGTATTCCTTGAGTCAGAGGATGTAGGCCTTTCACTTGATCTGTCAGTTCTGGGATCATATGAAGAACTGTACAGAAGACTTGGAAACTTGTTTGGACTAGAAAGATCGGATATGCTGACATGTGTGCTCTATCACGATGCAACAGGTGCTGTCAAACACACTGGAGATGAACCCTTCAGGTGCCTTGTTGTTTTCAGTACCCTCTACTGCTGATAATTAATTAATTTCGATGATTTTTCCTGTGAAAGCAGTTGTGAGTATATATTTTTGCAGGCACACACAAAAATTAGTTATTTGCATTTTAATGAACCTTTTTCTTGGACTTGTTTTGTAGCGACTTCATTAAGACTGCTAAAAGATTGACAATTCTGATGAACCCAAGCAGCAATATTGAAAGGTAATTGTTAATCATGCTCTTCCATTGGATGCAACTTCCTCATTGTATTAAACTTATTATCCTTAAGACTGAAGTATGATTTTACAACCTTCCAAATGCAGGTTTCGTAGGGAACTCTTTTATGTATTTGCCACTTCGTGATTAATGACTTGCAATCTTGTATTTCAGGAAATGGATCACTGGTCTCGCAACTGCTGAACGTGGTCTAGATTCTTCAAACCGAGCAGGACCACTTAGCATCTTTGCATAGAGTCGGCATTTGATAGCCTATGTGAATAAGTACCTTTGCTTTTCACATCCACTGCTTCATTTTGTAGTGCTAAGGAGACACTATTAGTGGAATATTATGTTTGTTTCTGTATGGATATTTGAGTTCTTTATGTTGGAAATGGTCAATGTGCTAAGAGCTTACTGTAACAGTTCTACTGCGACATCTTGCTAGATGTGTAGTGCTGTTGTATTTGTTGGCTTTATTAATCTTATTAAAGACGTGAATATTCATATGTCCGCTGGTGCCATGTATGTTTTTGACATGGATATGGACGCCCTGTGAGCTTGATTCTTTTTCGTGAATCAGGTGTGTTAAAATTCTTTTGATAATAGATAGTTGTGAGGCTTATCTCTGCATGTTTTTATACCATGTTGAATTGTGTGATCATCTCATTTAAAAGTTTACGCAAAGGTATGCAATTCTTGAAATAAAATAATAAGCTTTTCTTGAAAGATCAACATTTAAATGTCCCCTTTCAATTAGGGAACCCAGAGCATTTGTAATATTAACTTTCTAATCTATTGCCCATAGTATTGTCACTAACTCTATTTTGATGCAGGGGCTGAGTTAGTCCATCAGCTACGAGTTCGATCGAATTCAGTCGTTTTGATCCAAACCATGTATTTGTCTTATGAAATTTATTGAAATATACTAGTAATTATTAATTTAGAACTCAATAATTTAAAAGGATTAGAACTCCGAACCCATAATCTTCAATCCTGTCTTTGCCTCTGTTTGATGGCCTATCTCTTATCCGACTTGGAAATAAAATGGATGGTCGAAAGATACGAATGAAGCAAGCACTTATTGTGCGAAAGGAACATTCATTTTTGACCTACTTTTGGCAATTTTACTTATGTGAAATTTGTTCCTTTGTTTTTGTTACTTTGGTATGAAAGGACTTTATGGTTGGCAAGTTAACTAACTTCAACTTCGTATTTCTACTTATGTTTGGAACGAAATTAATACCGAAAAAGAACAAACAAAAATAAATGACACATGCTGTGGTTTTGTTTTAAGTGTAAAATAACAGTTTAAGCATTGCTTGCCAACCCAATTAAGGTTAGGTTTTCATGAAATGGATGTGATTAATTTCTACTTTAATTTAATTAGACCCCACCCACCCAACCCCTGTGGGGTGGACGGGGGGGGGGGGGGAGAAGCCCTTTTCACGTGGAGGTTCCAATGGCATCGCCGTATTGATGGGTGAGTCTTATTTATGTTCTCTCCATTATGTCTAAACTCCCACTAATGGTTTATTTGACTATAAGCACTTTGGTAGCATTTATTAATTCCTTTGAAAGTGTGTTTAATAGTGCAGATTTAACAATTCGATGTTATGAAATTAATGGATAATAATCCAATTACTAATCCCAACAAGTGGAACATTGAATAATCATCTGTGCTCAGCACAACACACAGGTGACTTGTTTCTAAACAAATCAAATGAACATTAGCCTAACAATGTGACCAAATGAAATGTATGACATGTTCAATTTAATCACAGGTAATTTCTGGTATTGAACTACAAAGCCAACCTATATTCAGGCGCGGACCTACAGTATTAGGCGTCGGATCATTTGAACCCATCAAAACTACGGAGAAGTAGTATTGAACGTTAAATTTTGAACTCATATTTTAAAAACATCCGAATTGAACCCGTTAAATTTAAATCTTAATTGCACCTCTACGTACAATCCTTAATTATGTGCATGTTTTTAAATTTACCAAAGGTCTTTTATGAGAAAACTTTATCCCGGCCCCAATTAGCTTGACGTTATTGCACATATGAATAGTCCATCATGAAGTACCTGGTTAAGCAAATTAATGAACGACAAATTTGGGGTCAAAGATTAGGGAAAAAATAAGACTTTGTTCATCCCCAAGTGTTTGTTTGTTTTCAGTTCCAACTGCGCCGGTGTGTCTACGGACTTTTGCTTCAAGTACATGGGGATCAACGAGGATTTTGTTTAGTAGTCATTTATTAAATTGTTTTCCTGGCTTTCATAAGATCCTATTAACCCCATTCATTAATTTTAGATCACTATAACTTATATTACTATTCAAATCACTTTCTAGAGTATTAGAATTTCAGTACCAACAATTTCTTTTTTTTTTTCTTTTTTTTTTTTTTTTTTGTTGTTGTTGTTGGTGTTGTTGTTGCTCATATAGATACTGAAATTCTAATAAAACAAAATGGAATTTGGGGATTATATTGTAACACAATAATAATTTTTTCAGGTTTACTTAATGAATTTCTAGGGATAGCAATACAAAATAAATAAGTGAAAAATTGAAGCTTATCCAAGTTATGAACAACATAGAAAATGATTTCACATTTAAAACAAATGAAACTGTTTAAACTTTAAACCGCTTAGATAGAAAATACACTACTTTTTAAAAGAATTCCAGCAACAAAAACAAAAAAGAAAAATAACAGTAACTATTCCTTTTTTATTTTTTTTAACACCACAAGATTTGTTACTTTTTTCAATTAATGATCCTACTTTACCTTTCAAAAGATAAATAACCGAAGCATATGAACTATTTTTTCTTCTCTTGTCTCGCAAATAGAATTTGAGACTTGAGTACTCATGAAAAAAACCAACGAGAGAAAATATAACAGGTTAATACAAGAAAAATTAATATTTTAGAGCTTAATTTACTGATAATATTCCTTTGTCGATGAGTTACTGTTTGATCAAAAAGTGTTAAGCTCTTTATTAAACTAATTAAATAAGGAGATATTAGGTAAATCCTAGCCAAGGATAATTTACCCTATATCTAATATAGAAGATAAGAGTAAGCAGACATAGCACACATAAGATTTAACTATAATGCTAAGTGAATCTCATTACATAAGAAACGATGGTGATTTATATAACATTAAACAATGATGAAGAATACATGGGTAAAAGGGTCACCGATTTTTGCAAGGTTGAACCCCGTTCATTTGATATGATAAGACTAATGATATATGTCGAGGATCCGAGCTTCCTTGCTTCTTTCTCCTTCGTGGAGAGAGAGAGAGAGAGAGATATGAAGATCTCTCCTCTTCTCAGAAAACATCTGTGTGTTCATTTGTTTCAGCCCC